TTGGGGAAGCTGGAGATATTGCGCAGCTCTATCATCCGTGCTCTCCCTTCCGCGGGCCGGCAAACCCGCTAGGCGCGGGCCGGGGAAGCTGTCGGGACCGCCTCCGCCCCTTCCTGTCTTCGCGGGGCCTTCAGGGGGCAGCCCATGACCGTCTCCGAACCGCGGGCTACCCCAGCCCTTCCCACCGCAGACGACCGGGCGCACCGCGCATGCGCCGGCTACTTCCACGTCCACAACAACCAGAGCTCGGAGTTCCGACGGTGGGCGGAAGCCGAAGAACGCTGACGTCACATCCGGAGCCCAGAGTTGCCATTAGTTACCGAAGAACGCGGAACGGTTTCCCTTGACAGTGAATCCAGGGGTAGAGCAGGAATTCTCAGCAATTTTCCCGTGAGTTCCTTCCTAGAAATTTGCTCGCTATACTAAGAACTAGCGCCTGGCCAACAATAATTGCAAACAAATGAAGTTTGGGAAGCGCACTTCTTAGCGCTTTGCCTCAAATATTTACTTATGGTGGTAAGAAGAAACCCTGGGTGGGTTTGGGGATATACCTAGAAATACTGGACTTTGTATTAAAAAACCTGACCCAGCCCACCTGAGAAAAGGCCATCTTCCACATGAGTTTACAGGCTGGAACAAGGGTGTAGAAGGCACCATCTCTCCCTTACAATAGAGGTCCTCCCTCTGCCCCTGTCAAAACAAACCTGGGAAGCACTAAGCTTATTCCTCTCTTAATGTGTACTGTGCATGTTATTTAAAATACCACTGTTTCTGCATGCAGTCCTCAAACATCTAGCTATATGAAGAAATATAATTGGTGCCCTTCCTAATCTAATCAGAGGCTGTTTGGTTTGGCCCTATAGTGTTAAAAGTAAAATTCTACCAACATTTAAAAGCCAGAGATTTCATACAAAAATCCAAATTTCCAGTTGATTTTGAAAAATAAGAATTCCAACATGGAAAACACAGATAAAGTGATTGCCCCTTTTAACAAGTGCTTTTCACTCCAAGGTCGGGGGAAGGTGAGAGAGGGTGAAGGGGAAGGAGGAAGCGGGATGTGTTGATGTAAGGAAACTTGACTTGGGGCGATGAACAGACAATACAATATACAGATGATGTATTATAGAATGTACCAGAGGCCCAGTGCATGAAACTCGTGCACTGGGGGTTGAGGGGGGGGGAGGTCCCTCAGCCTGGCCTGCGCCCTCTTGCAGTCTGGGAGCCCTTGGGGGAGCAGGCCCAAGTCATCAGTCGGACATCCTTAGTGCTGCTGTGGAGGCAGGAAAGGTTCCCTCCACACCACTGCACGGGCTAGCCGTGAGCCCGGCTTCTGGCTGAGCGCACTGACCACCAGGGGGCAGCTCCTGTGTTGAGTGTCTGCCAACCGGTCATTCTGCCATTTGGTTGATTTGCATATTAGCCTTTTATTCTATAGGATTATAGAAAAATACTTTTCACTCCAGTTTGCCACAGACCCAACTAATCTTATTCTATTCTTATTACACCCTCCCTTGCTGTGGTTATTTATCTTACCTGCCCCTTCCCCATATTTGAGGATTTTACCCCACTGCAAGGAACTATTTTTCTTTTAAAATCCCTTCCAATACCTCTAATTGTACATTTTTGGATAAATGACCTAAACTCTCTAAAACTATTCAGCTCTTAGATGAAGATATTGTCAACTTCTTACTTACAAGTCTACTTTTTTTTCTGTAAGGACATTTATTTGCAAGTTATGGAGGTAAAGGAAGGGCCCTTGGAGCTTGGGAATGAGGAGGCTAATGATGTGGTGCCTAGGGCAGGGAGGAGGTGGGGGAAGGGAAAGGAAAAGGGAGGGGCATGCTCTCAGGAGAGCCCTTACAAGTCTACTTTGAGAATTATTATTGCACCTGTATAAAAGTGCTAAATGTTAGTTCCTTCACTTTCAAAAATTTATACTAACCCTGTCACTTTTTAAGTAGAGAAGTCTATCCCATATGATTATATAATGAAACAAATTGTTTGTCAATGTAGAGCTTTAAAAAAAAAGTGAATATGTAGCCCAGTGATAATTAGTCACAAAGCTTATGAATAGAAGATTGCCATCTAAATCAAAGACATAGTGAGATCATATACATGTTTCCACACTAAGATACTAAAACTCATTTTTCAGAACTTATGCTTGACTTTGTTTTAAGCCTCAGTGTTTTTTTGGGGGGAGGGGAGGGATTTTAAGAAACTTTAATATAAAAATATAGTTATTCTACTTAATTACAATATTTATGTGAGAGCAAATTAAATTAAAACAGTAGATATTTACTGTGGCAAAAATATTAATGCAGGTGCCATAAAAATTCTGTATTACTAATTCTGCTATACATTTAAAAATTATTCCTACAATACTACAGAACTACTTATTACCCTTAATATTTTTATTGTTTTTAATATATTTTTTTTTATTGATTTCAGAGAGGAAGGGAGAGGAAGAGAGAGATGAAACATCAATGATGAGAGAGAATCATTGATCGGCTGCCTCCTGCACGCCCCCTACTGGGGATCGAGCCCGCAACCTGGGCATGTGCCCCTGACTGGAATTGAACCTGGGACCCTTCAGTCCACAGGCGGACGCTCTATCCACTGAGCCAAACCAGTCAGGGCACCCTTAATATATTTTTAAAAGATTCAGTGAGAAAAGTAGATAATATATGATTTTATTAATAAATAGTGTGAAAGCATCAATGATAACTTTTCTTTTAAACAACCATGTCTTGACTTTAATGTTGTGCATACTGGCCTCTATGGCACTGCAAGTAAACACATGAAAATATTTCTCATTTCCATGCACAGGTATTCAGCTCTAACACCATTTACAAATTATCATGGGCAAAGTAACCTTTGCAAAAGTTAATATTCATTTGAACAGCCACAATTAAATATTAAAACAAGCAAGATACAGACTATGTTCAATATGCGCCAGATGTCAAGTGATAACATTTAATGTTATTTAGAACTTAATTTTCTTATTTTCTTTATAGGGACATCTTTTGTATGTGTGGGTGCTCAAATGAAAACTGAGGAATGCACTATTTGACCATAATAACAAAATTCACACACAAGAGGGTGTTCGTCTCCTCTAAAAGAAGTAATACATTTTTTGCTCATAATCTCTCTCTAAGCATTATTTCACATACTAGAGGCCCAGTGCACAAATTCGTGCATGAGTGGAGTCCCTCAGCCTGGCCGGCAATCAGGGCCACGGGGGGGACTGCAGGAGGTTGGCTGGCCTGGGGGAGGAGCTATGGGAAGTTGGCAAGCTGTGGGGAGGGGCCACAGAAGGTTGGCTGTGGGAGTGCACTAACCACCAGGGTGCAGCTCCTGTGTTGAGCGTCTGCCCCCTGGTGGTCAGTGCATATCATAGCAATCGGTTGACAAGTCGGGTTGTTCAGTCGCTTAGGCTTTTATATATAGATTATTAATGAAAATACTTAGAAGCACCAACCCCAAATTTTGTCTTCAAGGGACAGTTATTAAAAAAGAGTGGCTCATTACATTTAAAAAAAAAAAAAGGTCAAATTTCAGCAATACTAGTGCTAAAAATAAATCAAATTTCTTAGCATACACAAAGTATAGTATTTCCATAAATTTTCTATTATGTGCAGATTTATTTTCCTTAAGAAGTAAAATGAAGTTTGAATAGTACTGTCTGTGGTGTGGTGACATCAGCAACTGCCAGTTCTTGTCCATCAACAAGTCCCAATTCTAAAACAGAAAAAGCATAATTAACCCAAGGGGAAAAAAAACTCAACAAAAACGATAATGACACACAGATACACAAACTATATAATATTATGGTTAAGATAAACATCAGTAAAATATATTGATTAAAGGCAGTAATATGTTTGATTTCTTTAGACATTTTTGTGTATTCTACTAAAAGAGCAATTAAATCTATTATTTCTAAAGATATAAGTATTTAAGATGAAATCATTATTTGAAGGTATTAACAACAAATCTAAGAGGAATTGTTACTTTTACCAAAAAAAGAAGTTGATTATGAAATATACTCATTTAAAATACCTTTCAATGTCTTGGAGAGATTTGGCCTTGTTCGTTCTTCAATAGAGGTTACTGACTAGAAAACAAAATTATTTTAATGTAAAACACATTAAATGAAATTAGACTTTTAATGTAATTGTGAAAGAAATAAAAACTGAACACTTCTCACCTGTAAGTAAAGGGTTCTATTTTTTCCCTCTAATGTTGCTGTGATGGCTGGAGATTTCATCTGCCTAAATATAAGTATGAGGGGAAAAATCAAAAATCACTTTTTAAAAAACAATTCTAGTTTTTAAAGTTTTAAAATATCAAAAAATATTTCTACAACATAACAGAAGTCCAGAACACTTACAGAGAAGCACTATTGGTTAGATAATCCAAAACCTCCTGTAGTTTTGCTGATGGAGAAAACTGAATATTTTGCGGAAGCTGGCTACAAGCTGGACAGTTTTCCTGCATATATGAAACACAATAAATCACAGCAGCACATGCACCAATAATAGTCTCCTTATAATAATGAAATAAAAATGAAGCTGTTTTAT